GGAGGCAGGGAAAAATGGAAGGCCATGCTGGAGTCAGGCCACAAAGGGTCATGGGGGTGGTGCCTGGGACTTACCTGGGAAAGAGGTGACAAATTCTTAGGACCTAGCAGATATGGATTCAGATGTCTCAGAGGGAAGAGAGAGGCCTACAGTTGATTCTCAAAGGAGGGAGGGAAGTGAAAAGTGGAGGCGTTCAATCATTTCCTTTTCAGGGAAAACGTTCAGTAGAAGAATGCTGAATTGATGTGTAGCTCATGACTGCATGAAATCTTTCAGTTGGAACACCCCTGGCTTTTGGGACAGGAAGCCAACACCACCTTCTCCTCCATGTTTGTATTGCCACAAATTGGGTGGCTCCAAACAACAGGAATTCATTGTCCCACAGTTCTGTAGGACAGGTGTCTGAAACCGAGGAGTCAGCAGGGCGAGCGCCTTCTGTAGGCTGTGAGGGAGAGTGTGGGCCATGTCCCTCTTTCAGTTATTACTCTCTGGTGGCTTCCAGCATCCCTTGTCATCCTTTGGTTTGTAGACACATCATTCCAGGTTCCGCTTCGATCTTCACATAGTGTCCTATCTGCGTGTCTCTGTGTGTCTTCACATCTGTGTCTCTTCTTATGAGGACGCCAGTCATAGTGGATTTAGGGTCCTTGCTAATACAATATGACTTCATCTTACCTTGATTACATCTGCAAAAATGCCTTTTCCATAACACACATCAACTCAAAACCCATGACAAGAGAAAAGGTTGACAGATTAATAACCATAACATGGTCTAGAAAAGCTTTTAAGAGATTCCAACTGATATTCTGCAGTGTTAGAATAATAATTTCAAATTGCATAACTCCCCCAAATTCCTCTCAGGCTGGGGACCTCAGAGTACCTCTCATAGCTAATCTGATGTAAATCATGATACTAACAGTAATAAAAATAACAACAAATGAGTAAATGCTAGAGGAAGCTCATTTTTCCCTAAGCCTAGAGAAAGCCTTCCGAGATGATGCGCTCAACTCTTTTCCAACCTGTGAACTTGAATCAATTTCTTGGAAATAACTCCATCGCCATTAAATCAAATTATAGTCGGCTGCATGTAAAAACAGCCAGCCCGTTGCTTTCCCAAAACTACAAACCAATTACACAGTCTGTTGGCCATTCTATGGGAATTTTGCGCTGCCTTCCCATGGAATGAATACCTCAGGGGCTTTGGATCTCAGGCAAACACACCACAAACAGCCTTTGGCTTGGCTGCAGCCAGGAACTGTGTGCAGCCAACATCCTGGGAGGGATATCTGAGCCCCAGTGGTACATTGCTTTGTCCTGCTGTACGCGGACAGTTTGTCCTAAGAAGCAAAGGGATCATATTTTCTTTCACTTTCTAAATCATCTTGTAAAATATGATAGTACTTTAAAAAAGATGGAAACACGTGGCTTCAGGATCAATATATACGAGCCAAGAGCTTAATGCACTGGGCAAAAAACCAAAAAATCTAACATGACCTCTGGGTGTATTCACAACACATAGTGTGATCACTAGGAACCAATGCATGCCTACTGGTTGACATCAGCAATAATTATTGGAACCAAGACATCCATATATGAAAGTGGGACTGCAAACTGGTGCAGCCATTACGGAAGACAATACGGAGCGTCCCACAAAACTACACAACTACCATACAACCCAGCAATTCCACCTCTTGGTATTTATCCAAAGAAAATAAAAACACGAATTTGAAACGATACAGGCACCCCTAAGCTCACTGCAACATTATTTACAACAGCCAAGATACGAAAGCAACCCAAGCATCCATTGATAGATAAATGGATGAAGAAGATATGGTACATGTATACAAGGGAATACTACTAGGCCACGAAAAAGGAAACCTTGCCATTTGCGACAACACGGATGGTCCTAGAGGGTATTATGCTAAGTGAGATACGTCAGACAGAGAAAGACAAATGCCATCTGTTCTTACTCATGTGTGGAACCTGAAAAACAGAATGAACAGAAACAAACTCACAGATACAGAGAACAAACTGATGGTTGCCAGAGGAAAGGGAGTGGGGAGATGGATAAAAAGGTGAAGGGGAACACAGTCAATANGCCATCACCATCACCATCATCACCATCGTCATCATCATCAAAGTATTATTATTATTATTATTACTACTACTACTATTATTATTTATATTCATTTTGGGTTTGGTTGTGTCCCCTGGCCCCTGTTAGGGTTTTGTTTAAATTGATTTGATTTTAAGGACTGATTGCTCATTATGTCTTGCTGTACATCTCTTTATTTAATTGCCTCCGGATACACTTGGCAACCAGCTGATCTTGGAGGTCACAGCAGAAAGTTACCCTGGTCTAGGCTGTATGGACCATGGTTGCTTTAACGGGTTTCATTACATTCTTTCATATTTTTTCTCATGGCAGAAAGGAATATTTGTTTATATTTCGTTTAAAAGTCCAATTTTCTGAGGTCTGGTTTATGATCATTATCCACATTGATTGGTCCCATCATTAGTCCTATCATTCATATAACTAGTCCTATAAGTAGGACTACTATTATTATATAAAAACATATCTTGTTCATGACTGCTATATTACAAAAAAACATCTTCATCAGTATCACCTTTAGGGTCATTAAGGCAGATTCTCGGGGACCGGCCCCAGAATTGAGAAGTCAGCGGGGGCCTGGATGGAGCCTGGAAATCTGCAATATGAGAAAGGTCCCGGTTAGTTTGACAACAATTATTCTACGACCTGAAGCATCTACGTGTGAAATTAGACTGCAAAACGAGTTCATGAAGGTATTCTTATGCACCTGGGGTCGGCCGCCTTTTCCTGCAAAGGGCAGGATGATAAACACTTTAGACTTCGTGCAGTTGTTCACCTTGGCCGTTGTCATGTGACAAGCAGCCGCAGAAAACTGGTAAATCCGTGGGTGTGGCTGCGTTCCAGTAACCTTTCGTGCAAAAACAGGCAGCAGCGTGATGGATTCGGCCTGTGAGTCACATTGTCCACTCCGGTGACACGTCTCCAAAAGGAAAGGAGGCGCTGCTTCAGCTGAACGCTTGTCCTTGTCGGGTTCCCCAATGTTCCTATGCTCACATCTCTGTCAATAGTCTCTGTAGCGCACTTGAGGATGACAGCCCGTTGCCATGCAACTAACTGACCACACACAGTGACTGCAGTTGCGATGTTCTGAGCAAAGACTTCAAGTTCACCCATCCAGTCTCTTAAATGATGTTTATCTAAGAGGATCAATATTAATATCAGCATCGAGGCTCCATCCTTGAATATGTTGCTCCATCCGCCTGAAGTCTCCCTCCCCCTTTAGCAACTCAGTTAGTTACTGTCCTTCAAATTCCCCCTTAGTGGATTCAGACCCTCTCCATCGGGGGCGCGAGCCCCTTCCAGATGTGCCCATATCTCCCCAACATGCTACATCATAGGGAGCATCAATTATACTAAATTATCACTCAGTGAGGGGTTGATCTTCTCCTGTGTGGCCTGCAAGGAAAAGGATGGCACCACATTCAGCCAAGTGGCCTGACCATGAGGACACGCTCACTGAGTGCTCGCTGAACGGATGAATCCATTTATAAACTGCACTTACCCCAATGTCAGGGGCTCATACAGAGAAACCATTGGCAAACGAGCCACAGAAGCTCGAGGAAGTGAGCATAGGGGTCGTGCCGCCTGGGGTTTTGGGGGCTGCACAAGAACTGGAGGCCAGGCTGTATCACCACCCTGAGACCCCGTCTGCCTCACGCTCTCACAGTGAAGCCCAGGGAGCAGAAGGAAGCTGACTATGACCTCCTGGGTTTCTTGCAGAATTCCCTGGAGGAGAGAACTGAATGCCACCCGGTCAGCCAGTTGCTCAGGGCCCCACAATGCAACTCTTCCCAAGCCTTTCCCCCTCCTGAAAGGCTTAGGATGGAATTTGTCCAAATTCAAGTTCACTCCCCCACCCCNTCATATTTATAAACAGGATTAGATTACTCATTTCCTACAAAATCGGGAACAGGGATGTCAATTTGCACTGGATATGTTCATTATTTGTAAATGATCTGATTATTCTTATGCAACCCATTAAGCTGAATAGATGAGCTATTACACATACCTGACAATCCAAAAAGATCACTGAATGTGTAATCAACATACCAAAAATCAAGACAGTGTTTTATACCAAAAGTATAAAAGATATAGAAAATAAGACACTATTTACAGAGAAAGAAATGAACACATAACGTGAACACAGCTAAAATTAGATCTCAATAAGTGTTGAACCATGCCCATTTATGAATAAGACAACATGATTTGGAAAGGTATCTATTTTTCCTAAATTCACCTTTCGACTCAATACAGCTCCCAGCAACGACGACAGAATTCTGCAGAATTTGATGCGTTGATTCTAAATTGGACATGGAAGAATTAACATCTACCAAGAACGAAGAGAAAGTTGAAGAAAAGCAAAGATGAATTTTTGTTTGATGCACACTTTTTGCCATACTGCAGCAACAGGCTGATAAATGACTGCTACATACAGAGTGCCCCAAAAATGTATACACATTTTAAGAAAGGAAAACTGTATTAAAATTACAATACTCAATATATACTGATAACAAAAGATGAATACAAGTCACGTGTGACGTCTGCAACGACAAGAGGTGCTCAAAGTGGTTCCCATCAGCATCCAGACACTTCTGATGACGGCGAACTACTGCTTGAGCAACATTGACCAAAGTGTCCACTTGTATCGCTGCACATGCCATTTTAATTTCTTCCCGAAGGAACAACGGTGTAGCCGGTTTTGTACGGCACACCACATCCTTTAAGGTCCCCCACAGGGAGAAGTCAAGGGGTGTTAAGTCAGGAGCACTTTCTCGAATTTCAAATACCACTTCACATATATATTAAAATACACACACATGCACACACATATACACGTAATGTTAAAAGTTCACTAGATGACTTTTCAGCAGGCCCCTTTCAGAATTAACTCTCCTGCCCCGAAACCCACAGGGATTCATGCTTGCCTCTTGCTGGAGGGCAAGCAGAGATTAGCCTGTATATACAACCTCCGTCGTACGCCCAGGACCATCTCAGAGGACACTGGTAACCTCAGTAAGCGATCCTTAATATGACTGCCGCAGGGTGGTGACACTACCCTATACCTGGCTTCCATCTTTTCATACACTTCTTTTGTATTTGCCATCTTTCCCTATTTAGACCCTGGTTGACACCAAAAGTCATCCGGAGAGGATACGTTGTTCACCCTATGTTTTGAAAACATTGCTTTCCTCTTTGGAGAAAAATAACATTGGGTCCCTACCTGCATGCCATATGTAAAAATAGACTGTGTTGATTAAAACGGCAGGTCTGAACTCTAACACTCATAGACAAACATGCAGGAAAAGGTTTTTGTAATGCTGCAGATAACCAGGATTTCTTCACGAGGCTGTAACTTAAATACAGAAGGGTGAAAAAAAAATGTGGAGGGGTCTTGGCTAAATCAAAAGCTATTGATTTTCATTTCAACAAAGGGCATACGAAAGTGATGGGGGGCAGGGGTGACAGACGGGAGAAGACACAGGCAATGTGTAAAACTAACAACAGTTGACTGTTAACACCAAAGCGCACTCACATGTGTGCCTGGCACGCAGAATGTCTTGTTTTAGGTGGGTGAAGAGAGCACAGATGTGGGGTCCTGGGAAGCCTTGTGTGGCCTAAAGGATTTACCCCATTCGGGCGGCAACTAGAGTAGATTGTACTAGGGAAACTTGCAAGATAAAGACTGCAAGTCCAATGGAAAATAATAGGATTAAGATGTTTTTATGTACTCATCCATGCTGCCTATTTTCCCCTGTCACTATCTAGTAGCCTATAGTGCAATTTTAATGGCTGGTATTCCATGCTTGTATTATGTCTCCGAATATGCAGCACATTCTAGACGGTTAAGAGTTGGTGCATTCATATATATATATTTTTTGCCATCATACACGGTCAACAATAAAAATCCCTCTACATGCATCCTTCTGCACGTGCCCAATGACCTCCTAAAGATGAAAGCCTCTGAAGTACAATCTAGTCCTGGCATGCATCCAACAGTTGTCACCCATGGCCATGTGGTGTCCCGGAAAGATTATGGCCCATTGCAAGCCTCCAGGTATGCCTGAGTAGGCATTTCAGCCCATCCGCAGCGTAATGTGGTTTAAAATAATAGCGATGTCCTGAGATGAGAGAAGGAATCATTCTGTAACCGCTGCAAAGATAGCAGAAGCCCTCTTTCCAAAGAGAAAAGCAAGCCACTGGCCTAATATGTACCTTGATACTCATGTGAATTGAGCTGATCATGATTGTCAGCTACACTTTGCATGTCCCTGTTGTTAGTGGTTTGGAAGAGTCACCGGAGGAATACAACCCCCGTGCCTGTCTGTAGACCTCTTCCTGTGTCACTTAGTGAAACGGATGAAGGTTCATGCCAAGGATACGTGGCCTACAAAGCAGACAGGGGGTGCCACGGGGGTCTGAGGCAGGAAGGCATCTGGCAAACAAGCTTAGCGGACCCCATGCATGGCAGACTAGCTAAACAAAGAGCCCCAATAATAGTCTTTCCACCCAAACATCAAATTCACAGAGACTTGGCTGCTTTTGAGCAAGGTGTTTTGTTTGTCCTGAGATTTTGCAGCATTTCTCTTTGTCCATTCAGAGACAGGGGATGGAGGTAGCCGCGTAGGAGTCTCACCTCGGAGTACGAAAGGAAGGTCACTCGGCTGACGTGCAGGGTCTCCGAGAAGGGCAGGGGGCAAGCCTCTAAGACTGGTGAGCATCTCTTGGCAACACTGTACATTAACCCTCTAAGATCCAATGAAAGAGACTTTCAAAAAAAAATCAACTAGAACACCAAATCACGTACAACCATGAGAGCCGGGCAATTTTTTGATACTGAAATGTTAAAAAAACCCAAAAACAAAACAAAAACACACAACTATTTTGCTATTGAATGCATGCTTTTGTATTTCTATATCAATTTTGAAAGAAAAGATACCTAATGTTTAAAGTATTCCCTATGCCCCATTTCTTTCTAAAAATGTCAATCTTGGATTTTTCCTCAACCCTCTTTATAATAATGGTAGTATATGTGAACCTATTGAAATTCCACAAGAAATGTGACATAGAGAAAAGTCTCCAATAGAAATATAATATTTTTGTTGTGGAGGTTTAAAAAAAAAAAAAGCATCCACTTAGGCCCAAAGCTTGCCTAAAGCTAACCGTCTTTTGACACCGAGCTTTCTTTTCATTATGAAGAGTTTGTGCTCTCCTTTTTTCCCCCATTAAACTCTGCTGCTGGTAGCATTAATTCTGCTTTCCGCACTTCTGANCACACACACACACACACACACACACACACACACACACACACCAATACCCACCATCACCACCCAAATTAACCAGGCATGAGAAATGTAACAAGCAACATTTGTCATCTTTTTGTTTGTCTGTTTAATCGGCTTCCACTGTGTGGACACATACTAGTCTGAACTGAAATGCAGAATGTTCGATTGAAATGGTAAGCGAGAGATTACAGGGTCTCGTCTTTGTTGCATCATAACGAGTGGTTAATACGAGTGTATCCTCTTCGTGAGACTTGCTCTCTGCTTCTCGCGTTTGGAAGGCCACTGGGTATTAGGCTGGTGCAAAAGTAAC